ATGTTTTTGTCAAAAAAATTAGTGACCAACAATTTTTGACCAGCTCAACTCTGGTTGTCACCTTTCCTCAGCTGCTAGTATGTACTGTATCAGGGACTGAAGAATCTTTGAGCTTCTCTTGTGTGACAGTCCTTTTTTGTAAGTAGAGAAGGAATGGCCAAAGAGGGGTGATGATATCATTTCCTGGCATCCATCTTAAAGAGATAATCCTCCAGACTGGGCGATGCAGAGGGAAACCCAAGAGAGAAGCCATACTGTCGCAGCCCCTACACAACTGGGCCTTGCTCACCTTTACTGCTAATGCTGCCACACCCCTAAAGGAGAAACCCTGTGTAAAAATCCCACCTGGGTTGCAGACACTCACACAAAGCAACCTAAGCAGCAAAGACACTGGGCACCAAAGTGGAGTGATTCTTTGAGTTTTTTCTATTTGTAAATGGAGTATGGGGCCACACTAAACTCACTAACATTGGCTGTAGATTGTTCTAAGTGACTTCTTGTTTATCGGTTTCATTTGCTGAATATTTTTTTAACTTCCCGATCTAAGTTCCTCATCCTCTCCGCCTGTATCTAATAAATGTGCTACTTTGTGGCATATACCATTTGATAACTTCAAAATCCCAATCTGACTACAGAATTGTGGTGTTCCCCTTATATTGTGCAGTTTGTTTGTTTTCCTGGAGATTTCCAGTTGGAAGCACCATCTGCTAATATAAAAACCATAATCCAGGGATTACCCCAAGGCCACAGTTTTAACCTCTGCAACATTAAAACCTAGAGTAGTTATGTATCAATAGTCCTCAGAATGTGTCCCATTATGAAACTTTGAGGCCCCAATCCTATGACACACTTTGGCTGTTCTCAGCTGCTCTGCCACAACAGATCAGCCCTAATCCTGTAGACCCAGGCCCTAGAGGATCTCACATGCATAGAGGGATCTTCAGTTGGAATAGAGCTCCTACACTGGCTCATAAACCACTACTCTCCTGCTGCTGCAGTATGGGCTGTGGCTGGGAGGCATGCCTAAGGCATCCCTGAACCTCAGTAATCCACTGCTACTTGAATGTTTCCTTGAATCCATTGGCAGCTGGTGCAAGTTAGAGCAACCTAATCCAGGAGCCTGGAGCAGGAGAGAGCTGTTCTAAGATAGGGAGTCTGCACAGGCCGCCTTTGCACCCGCTCTACTCAGCCATTCAGAGTGTTTCTCAACTGCAGCTGAAGATGTAGCCTAAGAGCAGGAAGAATTGTACATTCCTATTTTTGGTGGAATAGAGAGGATATTTTTTAATGTGGACAAAGAAGAGATGAGAACACTACACTATACCTTCTGGCCAGAAAGCATTTTGAAAAATGGAAACATTTCAGAAACTTTTTGAAGACTATACAGTCTCAACAGTGCCCTGGAGTACAGTTGTTCATCTGTCATCAGCAGTGACAATTAATAAAATGTTTTCATCAGAGACTGTTCTTGCAGCTCTCTTGATGGATACATTTCATCATTCTCTGCAGAAAATGTATTAAAAGTCACTTAAGCATCAGCTTTAGGTCTTCCTCGCCAGCAGACACAAACAGACTAACTAGATTAGCTCTAGCAGTAAATCAGAATTTGATTTTGGATTAACTGTATAAAGTATTTGAAACTTCTGAAAAGGAAGATGGTAAAATTCTTTTCTGTGTGACTAACTGCTTTTAAGGAAGAAGACATAATGAGGTCTTCGGAATAGAATGTTAATATAGTTTGGGTGGTTCTATAAAGAATAAAATTAAGCTTAGTTTGCCTTGGAGACAGAATATTCTAGAGATTTGCAGGAAAGAAGATTACAGTTTGTTTTTGTATTAATGCAAAGCACATCTCTCAGATCTACTTAATAAGACCATCCATATGGGTAATTGTTTAGAGTGCAATTTGGATTTAAATTTGGACAGGGCACAGAGTTCAGAAAATATACGAAACATCTTGAACCAGCCATGTTCACGTTCACTGAACTAAATCTAAATATAGCAAAATCTGAGCAGACTTGAATGGAGTAGCATTGTCACAATGCACATAGCAAAAGCACAGTGTAGTGACTTTTAAGATGCAGCATTACCAAGTCATGGTGCCATCTCAGAATGCTACATAAACTGTACTGCCATTGATTTATAAGGCATGATTAAAAGAGCTAACTCTCTGTGGTCTTCTACTCTCACCTCAGCCAAGGCAAATGTGCCAGAGGAGCAGAAAAAATGCTACAGGGACCTCCTCAAGGCTAATATGAGGAAATGCAACACTGATATCAACTCGTGGGAACGTATAATCCAGGATTGACAATAATGGAGAAACTCAGTTCTTTGAGAATCAGAAGTGATTACATGTACCGGAAAAATGGAAGTGACAGAGCATGCTCTGGCCCAAACCAGTACCCCACGTTCACCCTCCCTGCTCAGAAACATATGTCTGTAATGTGGCAGAGTCTGCGACTCCAGAATAGGCCTTGTCAGTCATCAGCAGACCTATTGATAATTTGAAATCGACAATCCATGAAAGACAATCATACTCAACTTTGAAAGATTCCCGATGATGATGATGATGATGATGGCTAAAGATAAGATAGAAGCCACTGTGTTAGACTTCTTGAAAGAAGTTTTTGTACTCTGAGAGACAGTTTTCGGAGACTGGAAAGGGAAGATAAAAGTTAAAGTCTCTAAACTTCTTGGTAAAATGTTTGCATAAGCAAAGGCACACTGAACTTACAATAAGTGTCTGGTTACTAAGGTTGCAAACAACCAGATGTGCAACATTGTAGGAAGATATGATGACAATGAAACATTGACTGAAGATATATTATGACTCAAGAAATTTGGCTGAATTTCATGGGACATGTCATCTTCCTATGATGTTGCACATCTGGCTGTAACCATAGTAACCAGACTCTTCTATATTCTTCAGCTCTAGCTTAGAGTTTTCAAGTTTTAGCTCTGCTATAGATTTTAGATAGCAACTCCAGCTTTTGCATGGGAAGTGGGGTGGAAGCACTGAACATTTTTTTTTTGTAATAACACAAACTCATTTTTAAGAAACTGCTTAGGGTTACCATACGTCCAGATTTTCCCGGACATGTCTGGCTTTTTGGGACTCAAATCCCCGTCCGGGGGGAAATCCCAAAAAGCCGAACATGTCCGGGAAAATCCGGTGCCGCTGGGCCGGGGGCTGGCCCGGGGCCGGCGG